AGGGCAACCACGCCGGAAACCCCGCAAGATAATAGAGACGTGTGCCGACTATTATAGTTGGCATGGTGGCGAGCCGCTCCTGCGAGCTAGTGTCCTATATATAACGCGCTAATGTCTGTGTATTGTGTGTGCGTTCGACCGGAAATTCATAACTCCTGCCCCCGTGGACCCAAAGCGTTCCAAACTTGGTAGGAGTACAGGCGGCAAGATGGGAACACTTATGATGGTTAGCAGAACTAAACCTCGGCTGTAGGGAGCGGGGATTGTGCGAAATGAATGTTCAAGCGGAAAATCATAACTTCTGTCCCCGTGGGCTCAGAGCGTTGAAATTTGGTAGCAGTACCCTAGACAGGATATAAACGCGTAGGCGCTTTTGGTGGGTAGCGAAACCAAACCCGCTCACAATGGTTGAGGTTTGAGCAGAGATTAACAACTCCTGTCCCCGTATACCTAAAAAGTTCAAATTCGCTAGAAACATTGGAAGCAGGATAGGAACACTTATCGTGAGTAGCAGTATCTGATCCCGTCCGCAGGGGGCGGTGTTTGCGCGAAAATTGTCCATTTCACCCTAGGGCGTTCAAATTTGGTAGGAGTACAGGCGGTATTATGGGAACACTCATTGTTAGTGGCGATACTGGACCCCATCCACAGTGGGCGGATTTGAGCGGAAAATCATAACCTCTGTCCCCATGAACCTAGAGCGTTCAAATGTGGTAAGAGTACAGATGGCAGGATACGAACACTTACATCGGGTGAGTGAGCCAGACTCCGCCTACAGTGGGCGGTTTTTCTGCGGGCACTTCCAATATGGCCCTAGGGCGTCCCAGCTCGGTAGGGTTACATACGGCAGGTTGAGAACACTTACGGTGGGAGCAGGACCAGACTCCGCCCACAAGGGGCGAGGTTCTCCACGGGAGTAGAGAAGGCAGGATGGGAACATTGACGATGAACGAGGCTTTAGAAAAGAAGACCCACTCACCAATTAAACCAACGCCTTTGTAATTTACGATCTAGCTTTGACTCTTTGATATGTTCCATTCAACAAGAAGGATAAAGGCAGTAATAAGGATCGACTAAGAGTACTAATTTCTGAGGAGATGTAAATTGTTTCTTCTCTTGTCATTAGGTTACGACCGCTACCTAGGAAAGTTTGTGATCCAATGACGAATCACTCTTTCTCTCCGCTTCGATATCACTTCTCGGAAAACTTATCCAACCGCTGACAATCTTGGATTCTCATCAAGGCATTCGTGATGTTTCAGTTCTACGGAATTAGGTAGCTCTAACAAGAGAAAACGAGAGCAAACAGAAAGAAGAAGAAAAAAGTGGAGCGCTGCGAATAATATGTAAGTACTCTTCTGATTCCTCTGACCTCAAAGACGATATTCCTGCATTTCGCCTCCAGAATTCGAGTTGCATTTAGGTCACGTCTCTTCTCGCTGTCTTCTTGAATTTCATGACTTTCACGCCTTTCCCTTTCCTGACGAGCTCTCACATGTTTCGCTGCTTCAGCTAGAGTCTGGGCATCGACTGGTTGAGTGTAGTAGTGATAGTTGTTGGAGCTCCTAAAATGACGAGGTGACCGAAATTACTGAGAACTGGTAGCAAACCGTAAGCGCAATCTACTACCTCATCTTTCCCTGAACCTTTATTGGAAAGAAGGCCTTCTGGAAAAATGTGAATGAAATCTTATTCACTCGCTCATGCTGGACACTGAATAAAGTTGTTCGTTGTTCATTCATGCCAAAAATCGTTACCGACACTGGCAGGTGGTTTTCTACTCGGAGCCCTTTGCAACCAAGTTCATCTACTGAGTGTGTAGTGATAAGATCAAAAGACGGCTGTACCTTTTTCTGGGTACATAATTTGCTACTCGGAAATGCAAGAAATGAATACCATTATGAAGTTGTTTTTAAAATTTCAGCTTCCCGGTTCTGCTGAGAGTACGATTTTAGGCAGCTAGTAGCAAGTGCTCCCGAGACGGTGGGCCCATAAGGGCTGCTAGATAGAAATTGCCTGTAAATTCGTTATATCATGATTTTTGGGAATATTCTCGAAACCAATGGAATAGTCAAGGGTTAGCCTACATCCAATCCCCTTCGGCAAGGAAAATGTCAGGAGGTAAAAGCTTTATCCAAACAATTAACCATCGCACTTTTTTCGTCTTTTCTTAGTAAAACAATTATGAGTGGAATACTCCAAGCGCTAAAAACACCGTTGAACTGAGCTCGTCGAGCTTTATAAGACGATACCCTACGGGGTTGAATGAGCTTCGTTTTGGACTCCGCCATGCACTTGAGTTCCATCTGAAAATTAATTGCATGAACATGGGGTGCACACTTCAGTGCTTGTAGTGGCTGATTAGTCCCTTAGGATGAAGTATTCAGAATGTGCTTTAGGGTTTGCCACGTACCCGACTTTACTCAGTACAATGAAAAGATTAATAACCGATTTTATTCAGCTCCATCGTTCACTGTAGATGTCTGCATGTACAGCCTCTGCACTTAACCCTCCTCCTCACAGGTTCCATTGAGGATATGACACCGTTTCACGGTAAAATGATTGAGTCGATTCTTTCAAAATTTTCCAAATTTTGAAGGGATTATTCTCCAAAATCTGTGGAGGTGGCGTTGAGGCACTGCATTATCGTAGACAACTCTTTGTTCTCTGCAAGACTTTTATGATACACCTTATCATAAATCTAAATTTCACCCTTGGTATGGCGCCAAACTTCGAACTTTGTCAGGTTCAAATCATTAAATTACGTTTTTCTTCCTTTTCTTGGCCTTTTTGCAGTTGAGTTGCACACGGTTAGATTTTCCGTGAAAACTGCCATCAAATGATATATGGGTCAACCTGTGATGAAATCCTCCCTTCATCACCATTTCCTGCCTACGCCTTTATGGGACGGCGGCAGCCTATATGGGCTGCTACGGCCAGTGCAGCGAAAGAGGCGCCCGTCCGTGGGAGACGCATTCGCGGAACGCGCTCTCGTCGCGAATGTTTTACCAACGACACCTTCGAACATTCCAGATCCAATTCCGACCTAAAAACCTCGGCGTCAGTATCTTTCTCAGGATACTATTCTCTTCCTTGAATACTATCGCACCTCGAAAAATGCCCTGTTTATCCTATTCGATTGGAGGCGTATATATAGAGCGTTTCAACCACCACATTTCCTTATATATTTGGACGTATCTGCAACCTAACGCAAGGTAATCAGGCAGAAAAAACAGCGCGTACAACTGACGCTTACGGTTTTTGTTTTGGTAACAGCCTGTGCTCTGAGAATCCATCCCTGTTCGAATTTTTCATGTCATCTAAAGCCTAGTCCATCTTGATTCCGAGCTTGTTAGCCGATATCAAGAACTTAAAAGCACTTGCTCAGACTCTGACCAGTCGAAACCTTTTTTGCAAGGGAATCAATATGCGAGCACCTTTTTGAAGTGGGGGCTGAATGCACGCATTCTAGAAGGCAACTGCTTGGTGTCAAACTTGATTTGCTCGACCTTCAATGATAGATAGCAGCTCTGATTTGTGATGTCACCTCAGCATAAACAACATTCTGTGTCATGGTATAGATTGACAAAATTATAGCTGTTCTATATATACTGGTTCTACTGCTTCGGAGTGGGCAACAACGACACTATATCGCGGATGATTCGCGATTTCACTTCAAAGTATTTTAAATTGCATTGTTGTTTGTTAAATAAGTGTTTAGTTCGTATAATGAAGAAAATTGTGGAGCACATGGCAGAACGTGTTGAGGATATGAAGATAAGAAAGAAGTAGCGATAAGGCGCATAATCAGTGATCTATAGAATGATACAGTATATTATCTTTCTCATAGAGCCTTCCCAGAGTAGGGTGAGGTTCAGTTTTATCCAAGGGACCACGAAGGGCGTCTGGCAATAAACGACTGCTCCGGACTCTATCTCTGTGGCAACTTTACACTAGACGAATCGCAAAAGAAGGCAGCACTTTACGTTCAGAGAACGGGCAAGATAAAGCATTATTCAGAGAAGGCCCAGTTGTGGGCAAGGAAGTTCCAGCAGACGGTTCGTTTCGACAGCAACGAACTGAGAAGATTTCATTGCCTCTTATTCTCTGTTCATTCATGAGCAATCTCAGTGGGTTCAGCACTACATAACATCATTGTCGAAGCGTTGAATGTCTGGACGGCTGGCGTCTTGAAACACATTAGGCAAAAAGTTTTGCAAGGGCATCATTGAAATATTGGGTCTATTGGATGACAGTTTTTGAGAAACAAGGTTTTCTACTCACCTAGAGGATGATCGCCCTCTATCCTCTCGAGTTTTGACTGAATGGACGCCACTTTCGCCAAATGCATAAGTTTCACGTGAAGAAGAGCGCGGGGACTCAATTGGAGAACCTCCTAGGCTGCAATGCCGGGCCGAGCGATGTCTGCTGCAAACAAAAAATCTAGTGCAGGAGTGAATGATGAAAGGATTGATCGAACATACTAATTCATGAAAAATCAATCTAACGTCATCTATACCAACATTTTTCGAAAACTCCGGAACTTTGCAAACATTGAGCAATTATGTGCATGTTGAAACGGAATTCCGAAAAGCGCATTCATTCCAGATCATCCCATATGAGCAAAGGATTTCATTTGTGAATGGAAGAAGTTCATCGCGCACACTTCACTTTTATATCAAAATTTAGATGAGCATAAAAGTAGAAAGGTATCTGTGAAGCATCAAAAAGGTGTTAATATACAATACGCTGCAGTACTGCTACAATAGTGCTACGGTTTGCGACGGAATGAAAATTCTAGATTTCCGTCAGTATTTGGCTCGTTTTTTACGAAAAGCCAAGATGGACTTTTTGAAAATCCAAGATGGACTTTTCAAGTACATGATGCATCACTTAGAGATGCAACAGCACTGTCCCTCAAATGGATTGGGAAGTTCGATCGCGCTTTCATCACACTAGGTTCGAAAGTAGGGCGAAATTGTGGTCATTCTGGTACACCTCACGATGGAATTTCGACCTTTCACAGGATATGCAGCTTCTTCCCAGCCATGTATCTAAAGAGAACACTAGTAGTTATCCGGGCTCACAAGGGGAAACAAAATTCTCGATTCTCCCTAGTTTTTCGGCTCCGCTTTCATGAACATTGACGATTGACTCTGTGAGTACTCAGGGTATTACATGGGGATATAAAACATTGTAAATCCTCTATTTTAGTTGGAAGTTTCACTTTAATTGTTCAAAGGGTGCGCATAGCAATGCATTTGAGAAGGGCACCGAATCGCAATTATTTTCCCACTCTTCCTGAACTCATGAGTCGAATTCGAACAACTTCGGCAGGAGTTCAAATGATACTTATCCCTTACAGCGATGCCTTTTATATAAACAAGAAGCTTGCTCTCATTTAGATGCTCAGATCATGTCACGTGTGGAAAATATGCAGAATTACTCCCAACCCGCTTCATAATCCGAATTCCTCATAAGTTTCATTTAATGTACATTTACTGAATGCTTCGAGTGTTGATATGCTATGATATGGTCTAAAACGGACCGCGGCTAAAAGTCCGTTTATTATGTTGCTGCGTCATACCTATTTTCACTTTTGATGTTTAACGGCTAGATCGTCCTCCAATTGACCGTTGACCTGGTCGCTAGTCCACCCTTCACTACCGACCTCTATTGATCCATCACATTCGCTACTGCAGCGCTTTTTTTGAGAGCCTGTCCGGTGCAACATGGACTGGAAAAAGGACAACGCTATATGAGATACAGTTCAGCTTTGAGCATCACTGTTACTATTTAACTCGATTGTGCATTCATTTCTTTCTAGATTTAAAGAGCTGTCCAGATTTTACTCTAAACCCTTCATATCCCCGTAGCATGGCAATAGAGTGAATGAGAACTGGCTGAATTAGCTTGAAGGAACGCTCATTCCAACCACTAGACTCTGACAAAAAGAACAAGGCCAAAACATTAGCTCAATGAAAACTTATAATATCTTGGCTGAGGCTTCACAAGAACACTCATACATCGAAATATGGAACAGGCCAAGACTCATCGAATGTCGATGATGGCCGCTTCTATAAAATTACCTTTACAATCGGCTACTATAATACTAGCAGCTCTCAGTTATTTTTTGTAGTTTCCCTTGAACACCGCATAATGCTGACCGGTACAACCAGAATTCAATCGAGTCAGACTAGACAGTAGTTGAGGCTAGGTTTGGCTGTTGAAAAATTCTTCTGGAATCGATTCTTTCGAAACTCCTTGGGAAGTTCCTCGAAAGCTCAACGCTTTTTTCAGACATATATTACAGATATGCATTTATACTTTTTTCGAAGGAGAATGCGATCGGGTTTCACTCCCATTTGGGATTTCGGGATCCTTTTGAACATTCAGTGTCTGCTCAAGCATTTTCAAAACATTCAAATTTCTACTCTCATCGTCTCATAAAAGCTGCTGATAATTTTGATTGTATTTGTGCGCTTCACCGCAATGGAAACAATCCTCATTTTTGAAGCGAATGGTAGCTGGTTATAACATCGGAACGTTTTCATTAGTGTTCTCCACAAATGAACATGGCCAACACCTAGCGGAGTCCAAATCTGTTTTTATCTGAAAAAAAGGCCACGCTGTC